AGGTGCTTCTTCGCGGCCATGTAGCCCATGGTGGAGTTGTCTCTCAAGGCCTGGGCCTTCATGATCCTCTCCATATTTGCCGTCCAGCCATATGTGCTTGTGACAATGCAGCACGGGGAGGTCACCAGTCGGTTTGACACGACCACCTGGAATCAAAGCACGACATGAACGATGCACCTAAGAAAAAGTATTATTCTAACTTCTCACTACTATCAGCTTTATTGTAAAATGAAACCTAAGGACTCCCGAGTACTGTCTATTCATTAATCCAATACCACCTGCAAATTTAAGTATTCAGAACTTTTCTCCTGCACATCCTAACACTCTCCAGGGTCTTCAAGGATGTTAAGTTTCCTCTCACTATATAGGAAATCCTAGTTTTCTATTCGTAAATTCAGAAAACAGAAGGGGACAAAGAGCCTATGAAGAACAAGCTTGGAAAACACCTACAGGCCCTCTAGAAAGCAGCCCACCACCAGGAGAGCGAGGCAGACAGAAGCACTGTTCTCACGCACCTTTTCTACTTTTTTCTCCAAGATGTCCTTCATGATCTTGCACAGGTTTTCAAACTTTGTTTTTTTCTCTTCCTGTTTCTTTTTCTCTTCTTCATCTTCTGGAAGTTCCAAGCCCTCTTTGGTAACAGACACTAACGTCTTCCCCTCAAATTCCTTCAGCTGTTGCACACAGTACTCATCAATGGGCTCGATCATATAGATCACTTCCAGGCCATGCTTCCGAAGACGCTCCACGAAGGCCGAGTTTGCTACCTGATCCTTGGTCTCACCTGAGGCGTTGGTAGAAAGTTATAGACCTTTAACAGGAAGGGATTTCATTTCCTTCTGACTTTTGCTAAGTCCAGTCAGATCTAACCACAGATGTGGCCCAGCCCACGTGGTCTTGCCTAGGTTAGTCCCCACGAGCTGATGTGTAAAGCCACATGTAGAACACACACGGCTCCAGGAGGTTGTAAGAACAAGGTGACTCTACACCTGTTGTCTTACCTGTGATGTAATAGATGTGTTTCTGGTTTTCCTTCATTCTGGTGCAATAGTCCTTGAGGGAAACCATCTCATCGCCAGAAGCAGACGTATAGTATCGTAACAGCTCTGAGAGCTTCTTTCGATTCTGAGAGTCTTCATGTATTCCCAGCTGAAAGAGAACATGAGCTTTGAACTTTCTCTGAATTAAAAAAAAACCATTTAAAATTTGACAAGCCACAATGACTACCACCACTAAAATCAAATGTGTTTACACCAACCTTGATGTTTTTCGAAAACTGCTCATAAAACTTCTTGTAGTTCTCTTTGTCTTCAGCCAGTTCGGTGAAGAGTTCCAAGCACTTTTTGACCAAGTTCTTTCTGATAACTTTTAAAATTTTGCTTTGCTGCAGCATCTCACGGGAAATATTTAGAGGAAGATCCTCAGAGTCCACCACACCTCTAATGAAATCTGAAAAAATAAACAAATGCACTCAAAATCATCCTAAAGATGCAGTCCACAAATACATAAACCCAAAAAACCAAAGATGATCTCCTGCCCCACAGACTCGAATCTATAGTGTGGAGATAACTACTGGCCGGGATCGAGCCTCACACCCGACCACACTTACTCAGATACTCAGGGATTAGCTCCTCGCAGTTATCCATGATGAAAACTCTGCGAACATACAACTTAATGTTGTTCTTTTTCTTTCTGTTCTCGAATAGGTCAAAGGGAGCACGTCTTGGCACAAAGAGAAGAGCTCTGAACTCCAGCTGTCCTTCCACTGAAAAATGCTTCACTGCCAAGTGATCTTCCCAGTCATTGGTCAAGCTCTTATAAAATTCTCCATATTCTTCATTGGTGATATCATCAGGGTTTCTGGTCCAAATAGGCTTTGTCTTGTTCAATTCTTCCTGATCAATGTACTTCTCCTTGATCTTCTTTTTCTTCTTCTTGTCACCATCCTTCTTCTCCTCCTCCTCCTCATCAGAACCAACATCTTCTATTTCAGGTTTGTCATCAGACTCCTTCTCTTCCTTTTCTTTTTCCTCCTCTTTCTCTTCCTTTTCTTCAGCCTCATCGTCGCTGACCTCTTTATCGCGTTCCTTCTCCACCTTCAAAAAAAAATGCAAAATCACATCACCTCTGCATTCCTGAACTGAAGGACACTCTGAATGGAACGTGCACACTTAAACCAAAGCGTAAGACACTCAAAAACGTTTAGCAGGCAAAAAACTTCTAGTCAATATTTAACTTATCTACCCAAACAACTCTGGATACCTTCACGATAAAACAGAACTTCAAACTAGTCCAGTCAATTCAAGTTTGGGTCTTTCCCTCATCAATAGATCCCAGCACTAAAAACTTCAGCTCACTAGTTTTATTATCTACACCCAACACAGACACTCACAAAGAGAGTAATGGGATAGCCAATAAACTGGGAGTGCTTCTTCACAATCTCTTTTATTCTCCTTTCCTCCAAGTACTCCGTCTGGTCTTCTTTCAGATGCAGGATAACCTTTGTTCCCCGACCCATAGGTTCACCTGTAGAGAGAAACACGCTCAATTTCAATCTGAACGGGCAAGTTAAGGTGTTGGGGGGAAAAAAGAATTATCACAATTCAGCTTTCCACACCACACCCACCCAAGTTTCTAAGCAAGTTTACCAAATGGAGTTTACAGTTACTACTGGGGTACAGTTACTACAAAAGGAGAATCTGGGCAGTTACCTGCCTAGCTGGAGCTCAGGAACTAGAAGGCCCCGCTCTTCTATCATGTACTTACTAAGCTCGCTGCAGAACGGATCAGGGCAAGCAAATTTTTGCCAATTCCACAGCATCTTCAGGGGTCCCGGCCTACAGTACCGGGCACTCCCCACACAACTGAGTGACCTAGAAAAGCGTCTCACCAGGTGCCTACCTGTATCAGTCCTAACTGTGAACGATCCTCCTGCAGAAGACTCCCAGGCATACTGCTCATCATCGTTATGCTTGGTGATCACCGTCACTTTCTCAGCAACCAAGTAGGCAGAATAGAACCCGACACC